GAGTTCAAGGCCAGCCTGGTCTACATAGGGAATTCTAGTCCAGCTGGGGCTACAGGGAGACCCTGTCTCAAAAAGATCAAAAAAAAAAAAGAGAGAGAGAACTGACTGCCAAAAATTATCCTCTAACTGCCACATACATTTTGTGACACACATGATTATGCAATATACATGCAGGCACCCATGCACGCACACAAATTATTAAAAACTTCTAAAAGATAAATGAGCCAGGTGTAGTGGTACATGCCTTTAATTCTAGTACTCAGGAGGCAGAAGCAGGTGGCTCTCTGAGTTCAAAACAAGCATGGTCTACATAGTGAGTTTCAGGCCGATAAGACCTACATAGGGAGGGGCTGAAGAGATGGCTCAGCAGTTAAGAACACTGGTTGTTCTTTCAGAAGACTGGGTTTGAAACCCAGCACCCACATGGCAGCTAACAACTGTCGGTAACTCCAGTCCCAGGGGATCCAACAGCCTCTTCTGACCTCCGAGGACATTGCATGACACGGGTACACTTACCTACATGCAGGTAATACATGCATACACATAAAATAAAAATAATAAATAAAAATTTAAAAAAAAGACCTACATAGTGAAACTCTGTCTCAAAAAACCAAAAGAAAAATAAAGATGAATAACGTGTTCTTTGAGGATGATGAGAAAAAGTCACTTTCAAACACACTGCTAGCACAGTACCCATATATAACCTTTGTAGAAAACACTTGAAAGTATAAAATTTTAAAACATGCTAATCCTGTGGCCTAGAAATTCCACTTCCAGGAATTTATTTTACAGAAATACACACACAGGATGTTCACTTCAGCAGCATTTATAAATGAGAAAAATTGGAAACCAACCCAAACATCCATTAGTAGGAAACGTTGAATATATTAAAGTACATCTATATTACAAAATAGCATAGAACTGTTTAATAATGAGAGCAATCACTACAGTTTAAAATAAGAACACGGCCTGGAAAGATGGCTCAGTGGTTAAGAGCATTGTCTGCTCTTGCAGAGGACACAGATTTGGTTCCCAGCACCCACACGGCAGCTAACAACTGTCCTAGCTCCAGTTCCAGGGAATCCGATGCCCTCTTTTGACCTCTACAGGCATTGCATGCATAGGTGTACTTACAAACATGCAGCAATACACTCATACACATAATATAAAATAAATAAACACAAAAATAAGAATGCAGAGTTCTAGGTACTGACAAAAAAAGATGCATTATGTAGAAAAAGCATATTGACACCGTTATAAACAAAAAAACCCTGATACATACAGATAAAGTAACCTCAAGAATATACTCCAAAACTGATAAAAGTAGACTTAAGAGAATTTTTCAGTCTACAATTTAAATTTCTGAAATGTCAGCTGGTGTGGTGGTGCACACCTTTGATCGCAGCACTCAGGAGGCAGAGGCAAGAGGATTTCTGTGAGTTCAAGGCCAGCCTGGTCTACATAGCGAGTTCCAGGTCAGCTGGGGCTACAGAGAAACCCTGTCTCAAAAAGACCAAAAATAAATATATAAATCAATCGTTTTTATTTTATAGCAACAACACCAAAAAGAAAAATAAAAAGAATACTCATGGGCCTATTACTTTTTTCCTAAGAGTTTCCTGGACAATAGCTTCGGATTCCATTTTAAGGCTTTCTTAGAGTTGGAGATAGTAGAAGGGAATAAGAGCAAACACAGCAAGCCAGGCGTGGTGGCACACACCTTTGATCCCAGCACTTGGGAGACAGAGACAGGCGGATCTCTATGAGTTCAAGGCCAGCCTGGTCTCCATACAGAATCTAGGCCAGCTGTAGCTACAGGGAGACCCTGTCTCAAAAAGACAAAAAAAAAAAAACAAAAAACCAGCATATACACACATACAAAACAAAGGAGCTCCTTCCCTTTCTGCTCGGTTTGTTTTTTTATTATTTTTATTTTATTTTTATTTATTTTTATTTTTTTAAATATTTTATTTATTACTTTATTTTATGTATATGAGTCTTTTGCCTGCATGTAAGTGCACCCCTCTGCAATGCCCACAGAGGTCAGAGAGGGAAGTCAGATCCCCTGGAACTGGAGTTACAGATGGTTGTTAGCTGCCAGGTAGGTGCTGGGAACTGAATCCAGCCAGTGCTCTTAACTGCTGAGCCATCTCTCCAGTCCCAGTTTTTAGTTTTTTAGATAGAATCCTGCTGTATGGTACAACCTGGTTTCTAACTTGTAATTATCCTGCCTCAGCTTCCTGAGTACTGGGATTACAGGCATGTATCTCCTCCATACTTGTCTGACAGGCTTCCTTAAAGGGAACTCACTGTATGATGCTTTTTTTTTAATTTGGTCTTTTTGAGACAGGGTATTCCTATAGGCCCAGCTGTCCTGGAACTCACTATGTAGACTGGGCTGGCCTTGAACTCACAGAGATCTGCCTGCCTCTGCCTCCCAAGCACTAGGATTACAGGTGTGCACAGCTACATCCAGCAGTGCTGGGGATGGTACCCAGGGTCTTATGCATGCTGGGCAAGCAAACATTCTGCTCCTAGGCTACACCCCCAGCCGTACTTATCTTATGCTTTATTATGGTTACGCATCATTCTGCATTTTGGAGCCTAAGCTCCTCAAGTGCCAGGACCATCTCATTCTTTTATCCCTGAAATTCAGATCTGCCTTCACAAAGGCCCAGTGTGACTAAAACAACGAGGGTGATGCCAGGTTTTTATTTTTCATCTTGATAAAAGGCTTGGTGATTTTTACACTGTCCAAGAACAAATAGAACCATGCATGACTCCTGTTTCACATTTACACAACCCAGTGGAATTTGTGTACTTTTGACAGTGTGAACATATTTCTCACTGTTTCAACATTTGTTTTCCTCTGGGATTTTGAGTGGGGAAAATATATCTATTTTTCTTTTGAAACCTACCTGATTAAAACAATAAAAATAAAAATGCCCTAATAAATACAAAGTAAATCTCCCTGGCACCAGCAGAGGTAAAGCAACTGAGCTCGCAGGCTTACGTGTGTCACCCACACTTAGACACCCATACCCAGAGCATGCCACACACACTGCCTGTGCTGGGAATTTTTCATGAAACAGAGACTAGTGAACTTTCCATGTCCATGGACCTAGGCCCAGGCAGTTAATCTTCCCCACCAAAGCATAGAAAAAGGGAACAGAGACATGGGCCTAGCCTCTAGCTCATGGTCTATAGGCAGGTCACAAACAAGTCAGTACCTCTTCAGGCTCTTTAACTAAGGACCAGAAAGTTCCCAGAGCTCTCTCAAAGCAAAACAAAGTCCTTTGAACAGTGTGACTGACTCCTGACTCATAGGCAGAAAGGGAAATCAGAAACCAGAGTGCACTGCAAATAGTAATGGTAGGTTGTGTATCCCAAAGCCTTTATCACAGGTAAACTGAGGTAGGCAAGATTTCCCTGTAGGACAGAAGTCTCTGAATGGCACTATTGCCTGGCCAGGTGAGTCTTCAGAGAACTCTCTTCTTCCCTCCCTTCTATTCCTTCTTTGACTTTCTTTCAACCTGCACCTTTCCTCAGATACTCCACAACACCTCCTCCCTCAAAAAGAAGCCCATTTTGTGGCATCCTGGTGGTCCTGAGAAGGGAATGCTCAACATTCCAAGAAACAGCTCTTCCTATCCCAGTGGGCATCTATGCCCTGGCACTTAAACCAAGAAGAGTGCTCACAAATGCTCCTCCAAGGTTTTCTCATCCCTTCAGGGCATAGCAAAGGATGAGGCTGGAAATTATGACAGGTTTGTCTATGAATTGCACTGTCAGCCAGAGTTCCTTGAGACCCTGGTGACAGCAGTCATGGAAAATAAGAGACAACGCAGGCCACAGCCTTTCCTGTCCTGCTCTGGTCTTCTCTGAGCACATGGCTAATAAGCTGCTTCCTCAGCAACAAAGACAAAGCCAGAGGTAGGCCAAGTCACCCTGAGGGCTGTGCCTTGCAGGACCCACTGGACTGGCCTTACACCCACACCCCTACACTGCTAGGAACATCCATCCAAGCATGTATAGGGAATGGAAAAGAAAAGAACTGGAAACCAACAAAAGATGCCTCAAATTCACAAACAGATCACTCAACTGTCTTTTTGAGACAGGGTCGGTCTCTCTGTAGCCCCACCTGTCCTGGAACTCACTATGTAGACCAGGCTGGCCTTGAACTCACAGAGATCTGCCTGCCTCTGCCTCCCAAGTGCTGGGATTAAAGGCATGCACCACCATGCCCAGCCTGAAGACATTCTTTAAAAAATCCATACTTACTGTTAATGAAGTGAAGGTCATGCACATCCCCCCAAAGCCATTCAGAGCCAGGGCGATGAAGATGAGCACGGAGAGAGCTGTAGGGAAACAGAGTCATAAGCAGAGAACCCCAGCTGAGCTTCAGAGAGGCCAGGCCTGACTCAGTGCCCCATCCAGGGAAGGACACAGATAAGCTAAATAAAGGACATGCCACTGAAGGTTAGTGACACCTGGAAAACATTCTCTTCCTCACCCTTCTCCTCCTGCCTACCTCATGGAGTTTGAGTTCTTGCAAAAAGCATACACCCACCCTCTTTTCTCTGTTAACCTAGCAGCAAGCAAGAGGCCCCCAAAAACCTGCTCACTGACAGCAAAAACCAAGGTTCCTAAAAATCAGTAGATGAGCCTCGCTAAGATGTTAGTCAAATTCAGATCCTATTTTGGTGTTGCTTTAAAAGCCCTTAAATCACCAGGCATGGTGGCATATGCCTTTAACCCCAGCACTCGAGAGGCAGAGAGGCAGGCAGATCTCTGAGTTCGTGGCCAGCCTGGTCTACATATAGAGCTCCAGGCCAGCTGGGGCTACAGGGAGACCCTGTCTCAAAAAGACCAAAAAAGCCCTTAAATAAAAGGGTCCAGGTGTTTTCTACGCTGTTCTCAAAGCGCTGACCTAGGTTGCCTTGAGGGCTCAGCTCAGCTGAGTGTGATGTAAAATACCAGTAATCCCAGCCCTCAGGCTGAGACAAGAGGATCACAAGTTTGAGGCCAGTGTAGGCTATGTAGCAAGACCTTATCTCAAAAATCCAAGTTCTGGGGATTGTAGCTCCTTGATAGAGCACTTGTCTAGCTCTACCAAAGCTAGAAGGCTTCCATTTCCAATACTGAAAAAAAAAAAAAAAAAAAAAAAAAAGGAAAAAAAAAAGGAGGAGGAGGAAGAAGAAGAAGAGGGAGGTCTTAGCTTATTGTTTCTATACCATGGAGGACCATATCCTGTAGCTGGCCTACTTCTCTCTTTCTCTTTTTTTATGTTTTTATTAATTCTTTCAGAATTCCATAGCATGTATTTTGGTCATAGTCACCTCCCAGCTGGCCTGGTTCTTATAGCTCATCTTTCAGGATGACATCAATGAGACCACCACCAGGGACTGGGGTGGTGGCTTGGTGATGAGACAGAAACCTCACACCCCTTGGATACTCCTCTCACACTTCTGCTTGGAATGATTATTCTCTTATTGGCCATGCATTTAAAAGAGCCAAATCTTAGCCAACAGACCACCAGGAAGCTACCCTGGCCTTCCATAAGGTAAGAGAGCAGAAGAGGCCTAACAGGTATTTCCTCTAACTTGAACATGGAGCAACAGGCCTAATACAGCATCAAAGAGGTGGGTCAGGTGCATCCCTGGATTTCATTTCTGGAAAAAAAGGGGGGAAAGGCATACTTACAGTTTGGGTTACTTGCTCCATATGCAATCAGCAAACAAGAGACAGCAAAGCAGGCACTAAAGCCAAACAGAAACAGTGTACTATTATTACTATATGATCAATTCCTATTATAACACTGTCATGTGGAGTGTTTGCTATATGTCACTTTGGAACATTTGTAATCATTACTTCGCTTAACAATTCTAGGGAGATCAGGGCCAGGTACATCATGGGGTACACAAGATGATCCAGAAGGGTGCTAATGTATTAGGACTTTTGTTTTTCAGTACTAGGAACAAGTGCTCTACCACTGAGCTACATCCCAGCCTTGTTTTGTAGTTGTTAAAAATTCATTCAATTTAATTAATTGATGACTTTATTTATGGTTAGTGCTGGGATTAAAGGCGGGCACCACCATGCCTGGCTACTCTTTTATTTATTTATTTTTGCAGTGCTAGGGATGGAGTTCAAGGCCATGTATGTGCTAGGCAAGTACTCTACCACTAAGCTGTGTCCCAAGCCCTTATATTTAAAGCACATAAACCACTAAGAATGGCATATGTGGACTGGGGGGGTATAACTTAGTGGTAGAACATTTGCTCAGGATACACAGGCTCTGGGTTTAATCCCCAGTACCCCAATATACACACACAAGGAGAAAGGAGGAGGAATGATATATGTGTATATATTTTACAATTGCATGTGCTTTTAAAAAATATTTTATTAGCCAGGCATGGTGGCGCACGCCTGTAGTCCCAGCACTTGGGAGGTAGAGGCAGGCAGATCTCTGTGAGTTCAAGGCCAGCCTGGTCTACATAGTGAGTTCCAGGACAGCTGGGGCCACAGGGAGACCCGGCTTCAAAAAGATTAAAAAAAAAAAAATTATTTTTATTATTTTATTTGTATGAGTGTATTGCCTGCATGTATGTAAGTGCACCCATGTCATGCAGTGCCTGCGAAGGTCAGAAGAGGGTGTTAGATCCCCTGGAAATGGAATTATGGATGGTTGTTAGCTGCCATGTGGGTGCTGAGAATCAAACCCCAGTCCACTGCAAAAGCAGTCGTGCTCTTAACCACTAAGCCTTCTCTCCAGCCCTAACTGCACGTGTTTTGCACATGTTCAAAATCTTTTTTTTTGAAGCCAGGTGTGGTGGCACAAGCCTTTAATCCCAGCACTCATGAGGCTGAAGCAGGCAGATCTCTGTGAGATGGAGACCAGCCTGGTCTACATAGGAAGTTCTAGGCCTGCTAGGGATACAGGGAAATCCTATGTCAAAACAAAAAAACCTCTGGAAGAAGTATAAGGCCAAAGGGCTTTGGAAACCAATGTTCTTTCTTTTTTATTCATTTATTTTATCTTTATTTATTTACTTTGTGTGTGTGTGTGTGTGTGTGTGTGTGTGTGTTGGGTGTATGCATGCCATGGCATGTGTGATGGTCAGAGAACAACTTAAAGGAGTTATCCTCTAACTTCTACCATGTGGGTTCAAGACAGAACTCAAGTTGTCAGGCTCAGTGGCAAGGCCCTTTACCAGCTGAGCTATCTCATAGGCCCGGAAACCAATGTTCTTAAGGACAATCCCAGATCCCTCAGGTAGGCCTGCGTCCTGTGCTTATATTATGCAGTACTGGCTCACAGCAAGGATCACTGTACCTACTGATTCAATGTCAGATAGGGTAGGAACCCTGCCCTAGGCAGGCATTTTGGGACCCCACAGTGCACATGCTAGCACATTCCAGAATTCTACAGTGCATCTGTTATCACAGTCCAAGATTCTAACAGCAGGGAATATAACTCAAGGGATCAGCCCTCCTCACTCTGCCCTCAAGGAACCCACACTGACCTGCCCAGTAGCCTGAGCTTCCTAGGACCATACTTGTCCATGATGATACCCAGAGGTAAGGTGATGGCACTAAGCAGGAAGGAGCCCACGGTGAACGCCAAATTTAGAATCTCATCCTGGGCCTTGCAGCTGAGCCAACCATTCATCCAGCTCACCTCCTCATGCTCTGGCTCTGCAGTGCCCCCAACTGTACCATTGGTGACATTCTCTGTGTGTGTAAAGAAAGAGAACACGTTAGGGATTATTCTCAAAGGTCAAGAGACAGGTGTGCCCTAAGAATTACCCCACTGGGAAAACCAAAGCCAGCTTGGCCCCCTTAAGGCTCTGGCAACACACAAAGACTTAGCTATCTATTTCCCCCAGATCCTCTGCAGCAATAATGCAGACATTCTCAATGTTTGTACAAGTCACAGACCAGTCAAAGAATCCAATAACATAAGCCATGTTTCTGCTCCTCAGAAAACACTAAGTCTTGTCCACACTTTCAGGGCGTCTCTTGACATACCCATTAACCCTGGGTTAGGACTCCCATTCTAACATGATGGCAAATGCCTACTATTTCAGCACTTGGAAGGTGGTCACAGGAAGATCAAGAACTCAAAGTCATCCTCAGCTACATAGTGAGTCTGAGGGCAGCCTGGACTACATGAAACCCTGTGTCAAAAAAGATGGGGGCGGGGCTGGGTGTGGTGGCATATGCCTTTAATCCCAGTACTTAGGAGGCAGAGGCAGACAGATCTCTATGAGATCAAGACCAGTCTAATCTACAGTGAATTCCAGGTCAGCTGGGGCTACCAGGAGACCCAGTCTCAAAAAAGGGGGGTGGGACAAGATAGCTTAGCAGGTAAAAGCACCTGCCTCTAAGCCTGATGACCTGAGTTCGATCCCCAGGTCACACAAGGTAGAAGGGAGAACCAACTCCCAAAAGTTGTCCTTTGACCTCCACACATGTGTACATGCACAAATACATACATACATAAATGTAATTTAAAAAAATATTTTATGGGGCTGGAGAGATGGCTCAGCGGTTAAGAACACTGGTTATTCTTGCAGAAGACCCGGGTTTGAATCCCAGCACCCCACATGGCAGTTAACTGTCTATAACTCCAGTTCCAGGGGATCCGACAGCCTATTCTGTTCTCCGAGGGTACTGCACAACATGGGTGCACTTATCTACACACAGGCAATACAGATATACACATAAAAATAAAAATAATAAATATCTTTTTTTGTCTTTTTGAAGCAGGGTCTCCCTTGTAGCCCCAGCTGTCCTGGAACTCACTATGTAGACCAGGCTGGCCTCAAACTCACAGAGATCCACCTGCCTCTGCCTCCCAAGTGCTGGGACTACAGGCACTATGCCACCACGCCCAGCTGTTAAATAGAATATTTTAAAAAATAACACTTTTTGGTCGGGAGTGGTGGCACACGCCTTTAATCCCAGCACTTGGGAGGCAGAGGCGGGTGGATCTTTCTGAATTCGAGGCCAGCCTGGTTTACATAGTGAGTTCCAGGACAGCTGGGGCTACAGGGAGACCCTGTCCCAGAAAGACAAAAAAAAAAAAAAACCCACTTTGCTTTGGAAAAAAAAAGGCCTGGCATGGTAGCTGTCCCATAATCCCAGTACTTTGGATTACAATGAATTTAAAGCCAGCTTGGTGACTGGGGAAATGGCTCAGGGTAAGTGCTTGTTCTGACTTTAGTCCCCAGAATCCATGTCAAAAAAAGGTGGATGTTGTCACACTGGAAAGGCAAAGAGAGGCAGACCCATGGGGCTTACTGGCCCAGCCAGCCTAGCCTACTTGGTAAATCCTAGGGCACTGAGAGACCTTGCCTCAAAGAAAAACCAAGGTGGATGACTCCTGAGGAACAGCTTCCAATATTGTCTCCATGTGCACTTGTGCACACACATATACAGCACACAAGGACACACACACAGAGACACACACATACAGCCTGGGCTACAGAGTGAGACTCTCTCAAGAAAAAGGAGAGCTTTCCATTCTAGAGTTTCCTAAACCATATACCCAATAATAGTTCCTCAGGACCCAGCCTTGGCTATTGGAATCCCAGACTGTCTCAGACCTCCTCAGCAGTTCTGTCCACGGACACACATGCAGTCAATATAGAGGATTTGGGAAGGATAAGCTCCAGTCTCACCAGAACACCCTGCTTCTCCTCAGCCAATCTGGGGAAACTAAATGGTCCTCCTTGCTTTTCAGTCACAGAACAGGCCACATCTTCTCCCCCAGAATTTCCATAACTCCAGCCACTATATAAACGGTATCTTAGAAAAGAAAGGGTTGGGCTTTTGTTTTTGAGGTGCTAGGGATTGACCTCAGATCTTCATACATGCTAGGCAGGCCAGCATGCTAGCACTGAGCTACACTTCAGTTTTGTTTTGTTTTGTTTTTAGATATTTTATTTATTATTTTTATTTTATGTGTATGCGTGTATTGCCTGCATGTAGGTAAGAGCACCCGTGTTGTGCAATGCCCAAGGAGGTCAGAAGAGGCTGTCAGATCCCCTGGAACTGGAGTTAAGGACAGTTGTTAGCTGCCATATGGGTGCTGGGATTCAAATCAGGGTCTTCTGCAAGAACAGTCAGTGTTCTTAACCACTAAGCCATCTTTCCAGCCCTATACCTCCAGTTTGAATTTTTGTTTTTGTTTTTTGGTCTTTTTGAAACAGGGTCTCCCTGTAGCCCCAGCTGTCTTGGAACTCACTATGTGGACCAGGCTGGCCTTGAACTCACAGAGCTCCACCTGCCTCTGCCTCCCAAGTGCTGGATTAAAGGCGTGCGCCACCACGCCTGGCAAAGGTGTGTTTTTTAATGGTGCAAGAATGTTATCTTTCACTTGTTGAAATGCACCTTTCTTATTTTTCTTACTGGGATCACTGTGTTGATGCCCATCCCCCACCAGCTCCCAAGACCATATCCAGAACCTGATGTGATGGGCTGTAACTTTAGCCCATAAGTGCCCCCTCCAAAGTCCAACCAGCATCAAAACAATACAGAAAAGGAAAAGAAAAGCACTATGCTACAGGTGGGAGGATGGGGGGCTAGCTCAAAATGTGACTGAGGAATTCTTAGTTAAGAGATGCTAATTTTACAGAAACAAACAGACAGATTAGCTTTGAGGCTCCACCAGAAAACCAAGAAACTCTTCCTCAGTGTCTTGCAGCATCTGGCGCCAGAGCTGCATGGCTGAGGTCTACAAAGGCCTGTGTGAGCTCTGAGGGTCGCCCCAAGGTGACTGAAAAGAAAGCACCTGAGGTGATTCATGCCATATGCCAACCTCTGCCCAGTGAGCCCTGCCAGGGGGCATGCTGGGGTTGTGGTGGCAGAACCTAGCCTCTGGGTTCTAATTTTAGATTTTTGTCGTTGTTTTGAGACAGGGTGTCTCTATGTAGCACTTGTAGGCCTGGAATTCACTAGGTAGACCAGGCTAGCTTCAAACTCACAGAGATCCATCTGCCTCTGCCTCCTGGGTACTGGGATCAAAGGCATGGGCAACCACTCCTGGCCTTGGGTTCTAGTTTTGGTTTCTCTACTTCCTATTGTACATCCTTGGAAAAGTAACTTGATCTTGCTTTCTCTAGCTGTTTCCTTATGTGTAGAATAGACACAATAAAATAAAAGTTCATACCTCTAGAGGTTTGGGGAAGATTAATGAGAAAATCCAGGTAACATTCTAGAGCTCCTACTGGTATAGAAAGTGCTCAGTAAATTAACTATCATTATTACTACTATTGTTATTGGAGGCTCACAATGGAATGATTTAACTGTATGGCAGCAGAGTATGTCACTGTGACAGCACAATACTAGATGAGTGTGCAATAGCATGAGTGTATGTTTAGTTGTCCACTGAGCTCTGAGTTTTCAGGACATGAACTGTACTCTGGTTACTGTGTCCTGGTACCTCCGCCTGCCGTGGCCACAGTAGTTGTTTACTGAATGAGTGGAAACAATGAACCGGATCTTTATGACCAAAAGAGATCAAGAGAGGAAAGGAAATAGGACTTGCAGAACCAAGCTGAAGATAGAGGGATTTAGGAGGATTAGAGCCACAGGTTAACAGACTGAAACCACAGAAACAAAAACTTGCAGGCCGAATTCCCACCCCTGCTACTTTCAATCACCTTTCCAAGAAGTCCTAATACTGGCAGCCCAAACACATGGCAAACAGTTCTCTGAGCCTGTTAGTCCCATGTGTTGCTGTGGCCAGCAGGTGCAGAGTAGCTCCAAGGAAAGAGCTGATTCACAGGTGCAAGCTGGTTTCAGGTGTCAGCCCTGCCAGCAACAATAGGCACTTGATCAGCCAGGCCTCCAACCAGCAATGACCATCCCCAGGTAATCATACAGATATTAACCCACCAACATAGATGACTTAACATGGACAGGTAGACAGAGGGTGCTCCAGCCTGGGTTAGCCAGACTATGAGACCTGATTGTGGCACTCAGGGTCCCGAGCCAGTTACTGCACTCATGAACTTGGAGTACTAAGGGTTCTGCTGCTGTAGGGAACAGGGACAAGAGGAGTGCAGGGGCAAGGCAGTACTGGTTATAAGAAACACACTCCCCCAACCCCCAAAGAGGAACCACAGCTGGATTCCCTGAATTTATGACTGTTCATAACAAGAAACAGAAGATAAAATCCCAAGGCACTGTCTGGGGATGTGGCTCAGCAGTAGACCACTTGCCTAACATGTACCAGGTCCTGCATTTGAGCCTCAGCACTACAACGTTTAACTTTCTTTTTTTTTTTCTGTTTTTTTTAATCTTTTTTTCTTTTTCTTTTTTGTTTTTTATTTATTATTTTATGTGTAAGAGTGTACTGCCTGCATATACATAAGTACACCCATGTCATGCAGTGCCTGCAGAGGTCAGAAGAAGGCACTAGATCCCCTGGAACTGGAGCTACTGATGGTTGTTAGCCACCATGTGGGTGCTGGGATTTGAACCCAGGTCCTCTACAAGAGCAACCAGTGCTACTTAACCACTGAGCCATCTCTCCAGCCCTGCACTACAAAGTTTAAAAAAAAAAATTGCAAAGTGGGTCACTGAGATGGCTCAGTGGATAAAGGCACACTGCTAAGCCTGACAACCTGAGTTTGATCCCTGGGATCTATATAGTGGAAGAACTGACTCCTCAAGTTGTCTTCTGACTTCCACATGCACACCATGGCATATGCTCATTCATACAC